AGCTTTGATAGGTTTAGTCTGGCGAGATTCTGTCTGTTAGGTGTGAGCTAATAAAGGAACTGAACTGTGCTGGATTGCTTTGTTGTTGTTCTTGGGCTGAACCTGACAGATATAGTGGTACAATTGCTAAAATCTTTTCATAAGCTGTTCAGTCACAAAAATTTCTAGGTCAGCTCCCACCAAAAATATCACTTTCAAAGTACAGGTAGTTCTCGAGTTACTACGGCAATTGGGGTCAGAATTTCCATTGCTAAGTGATGCAGTTGTAAAGTGTGATGTCATGTGACCACATCGTTTAGTGATGACAGTCCTTGCAGTCCCCATTGCCATTGTTAAGGATCGTGGGTTGTTAAACAAGTACCTCCTCACAACTTTCTGCTGGCTTCCAACAACTAACGTCAGTGGGGGAGCTGGCAGGAAGTTGCAAGTCCCAGGTGAGTTGCAAGCAGGCCGGCAGGCATGAAAGTGGCTGCTGCTGGGTGGGAGAGGGTGCACGAGGGTGTGCAAGTGGCGGGGGAGGCATAGCGCAAGCACAGTGAGACTCAGAATGCATGAGGATGTGTGAGTGGCCAGGGAGGGTGCACCAGTGACCGGGGAGGCACCGTGTGAGCATAGTGCGGCTCAGGGAAGGTGCGTGAGGGTGGCATGATCAGCTGGGGAGGGTGCACAAGTGGCCAGGGAGGCGTGACGAGAGCACAGCAAGGCTCAGGAAGGGTGTGCAAGGGTGTGCTGGTGGTCGGCATGGTATGAGGAACTGGGGGAGGATGCACAGGTGCACAGGTGGGGGAGGCTTACCTGAGCAACCTGCGACCTTCCCTGCCAGTTTCCCCATTCTCTTTGCTTGTGGGAAATCAGCAGGAAAGGTTGCAAATGATGATCACATGACCATGACATGCTGCAACCATTGTGGGGGAGACGGGCGGTGGAGAAATCCAATAAAGGAAGGAAGGAAGGAAGGAAGGAAGGAAGGAAGGAAGAAAGGAAGAAAGGAAGAAAGGAAGAAAGGAAGAAAGGAA